AAAAAGCTTAAATCAATTTCCAAAAGTAGGCAGTCACCTTAAATCGAAATTCGTGTTCAGTTTTAGTTTATGAGCAGCATTGGTAATTCCAGATGATAGTTCACGTGATATCCCATGATAAAGAACAAAAAATTATGGGAAAAAAGAACTTTTTGACTTGCTTTTTATTTTTTATTTCTATTCTACGTCGTCAGGTATTTATATTAAAGAGTGTATATAATACCGGACTAGTTTAGAGATCGTATTTAGTAAACTGGCTGACACCTTTTACTATTAAAGACGAGAATGTCTCCGTCTGTTGCTCACATCTTTCGTGTTAAAACGTGTTATTGTTTGTTTAACAAATAGACATCAATGAACCCGCGAGACGTAGCCGTTATCGTCAATAGCGCAGCGCACTGGTTCTAAAAATAGCTTAAAGATTCGGACAAACATTGCATTCTGTTTAACCGCTACGAGGATTATACGAACCGATTTTATTATTTTTACTTAAAGTTACAATAATAAACCATGTAAACTAAGATCAACTGCGATCGGCTGTGAAAATTATCTGCTGAAAGTAAACTTGTAAGTTTGTTTCTCCGAATTTCGCCTTTGTCTTCGTTTTTATGACGTCACGGTTGCGCTGCGCTATAAGAGGACAGACACACACACAAAAAACGGGATGTCTATATGTTTTTACAATAACTAAAACGATAAAAGTGATCAAAACAACAACCAAAGGAAAGAGCGCTTGCTCGTTGACGTCATCTTTATATGTCTTTACTTTCATTGATAAGTCATTGTAACGTTTGTTCCTCAGTTCTTTCTCCCATGATTATGCTCAATCAATCAATCTATAACTTTTTGTGTTTAAACTTCTAGCCGCGTTCCGTTGAATGGAACTTTGTTAGTTCCATTCAAACAAAAGGCTCATTTACCTTCAGTTTCTGTTTTTAATTAGTCATGTGTCTGTCATATTACGCTGTGGGATACCTTTGTCGTGAGTTCCAATCTTGTGCAAACATGAATCAAAACAGCTGGTCATTTGCATCCACTTTATGTCACTTGTTTCGCCAACCTTAAAAGTAAAAAATCTAATAATTGCTTATTGTTTGCTTTTCTAAATTATGCGTAATGCTTGGCTTTTATAACACGTAGTCGTCTGGTCAGAAGCTCATGTGCCTCAAGATTTTTCATACGGCTTTCGAGGTTTTGACTAGCTAAGATTGATATTTTTGCTTAGCAACAATGAGAATGACCAACCGAAAAATTATTCTAATATTATCAGTTTTTTCAGTTTCTATGCTGACATTGTATTGGATCCTTAGTGAGATTATGTGCAACGAAAACAACAACAAGTTGTTTGACCGAAAATTCAATATAAGGAAGAACTCGGCTATTAGTGATGTTTCTCCAGAGACTAACATTCGTTCAGGACTACAGCAAGCATTAAGAACATATGYCGTGATAGCTGCTAAAGAGAACGACGAGAGCTTTTCGACACAACTTGCTTGTGTTTCAGAAATATTCGTGATAGAATGCGACAATGCCGGACTAGCTGCTATGTTGTTGATGACTTTGGATCATTTAAGCACTTGCAGGCATATTAGAGCTGTTCCAACCGTATTTTGGCGTAACTGTGGCACTGTTTGTCCATCAAATGCAACAGTTAATTCTTGGAATTGGTTTTTCGAGCCTTTGAATCCGAATATAGAAGAAAAAGCAAAGAAAGTCTTATGCTTTGGGAATTATTTTGGTCCAAGTGTATTGTATTTGCAACCAGGATCTATGGAAAAAAAATCTAGCCTTACACATCTCCCTGAATTGTTAAACCTAAGTTTCAAGCCACGCAATACGCCTGGTTACAATAAGCTTGACCTGATCACTCGTGAAATACGGCTCTGGGCCAATAAGTTACTAAAACAATATGTGAAGATAAACCCTAAAATCCAAGAGATCGTTGACAAGTTCTATGATAAACATTTATTTGGTCACACTGTTCTTGCTGTTCATGTCAGAGGAACCGACCATGGCTCAGAAACAGAAGATGGGAAGTTACCCTCATTGACTTCATGGATTCAGAATGCTAAACACATCTTGCAAAGCTTGCCGACACCAAATAAGATATTTATTGCCAGTGATAATAATGAGATTATAAAGAAGTTTGTCAATGAATTTGGTAAAAAGGTAGAGCTCATCTTGAATATAATTTGGCTTTTTATTTGCAATAGAGTAAGTCTTTGATGGAAAATTAATAAATGTATCAACTAAGGAAATGATATTAGGGGTATTAGAAGCTGAGGAGGCAGCTCAACACTCCATTTTTTAATTCAAACATGATTTCATGATTTTTCAGGTCCTCTTTACAAAGGCATTACGAGCAATCAAATATGATGGTGGGGCGGTCCATGCTTCCAAGTATGACCCATATAAACTGGGAGCAGAAGTTCTGATTGATATCCTCTTGATGGCAAGGGCAGATCACTTTTTACATGCTGAATCAAGTGTTGCAGCACTAGTTAGTTACTTCAACCCTGAGATTCATACCCACTTCCTGGAAAGCAAGGAAGAGACTGACAATGAGGTAGGTAGAGTAGGCTTAGCATTGCATCTATTGGGACCATCCTAGCATCCATGAAGTTTCATGATTTGTCTAATAAAAATTACCTAGGATTAAAATAGCAATACATCTTCCAAGCGAATTAAGCTATACCTATACCTAACAAGAGGCCTTATATTATGGGGCAATGGTGCAGTTTTACTGTTCTATTGTGTTTTCCCTGCCATTGGCAAATTGTCAGTATGTAAGTAAAATAAAAATATAATAACAAGTTCATGTCTTATTTGTTGTGCAATCTCAAGTGGAAATTAAAGCTATTTACCTGTAACCCAAAGCTGAGTGATACATCTCATAATAGTAACTTTATTGTTTAGGCTGATGCCATTCAGCAGCCACAATTAACCCAAACTGGAGAAATGACTATCAACGAGGATAATGTCTATGATGATGGAGATTCTGAATCAGAGGATGATATTGAAGAAGATAAGCGAATGCAACTTCAATGTTTTCAAAAGAATAGCCAGTATAGTGTTTGTCCCAACATGAGAAAAGAAATTTTTATAGGCCCAAGAGAATTACAAATCCTACAACATTAAACCAGCTTTATATTGATATAGAGTGATTTTCATAAATCCATGAAATACACTTTAGCATATTTAGTACTATTATTCTCTAATTCTTTTGTTTTCTATTGTGTTCAACTATTACACTCTAATTCTAGTACAAACAAATGTGTCGTAGTAGATAATTTTATCACCGTAAATACGAAAGCGGGAATCAGACTGCCGTTTCGGACGTAAGTCCTTCGTAGTAGTCAATGAGAGAAAGAGAATGATGGAGGGGTTTATGTAGTGGTGTAGGGAGAAAACAAACCAATAAGAAAATAGCAAGTCGTAAAACAAAAGAGAACAAAAGGATCGAAAATAATAATAGTAGGTGGGTGAAGCGTTCATTCATCCCGTGCGGATTAACTGTGCCAAGCGAATGAATCAAGCGCATTTCTTTTGTTTTGCGTGAATTATTGTTACTAGAACGTGTGTTTAAGCAAAGACCAAAAACATTAGCATTAGTTTCCGAGTGGTTGACAGAGTTGAAATGTCGAGAAACTGGTTTAGAGAGATCTTTCTTGCGAATATCGTAAAGGTGGTCTCTGAAACGATCACCTAATCTTCGTCCAGTTTCCCCAACATACAGCATGTTACAATAAGAGCATTGAATGCAATAGATGATGTTAGATGAAGTACAGTCGAAGTGATCCTTTATATCAAAAGTAGATTTAGGACCTTTAACAGAGGTACGGGGAACAACAAAAGGGCAAGTGTAACAACGTTTGCGAGAACAGCGAAAAGTGCCAGGTTGTTTATCAGAAGGAATTTTGCCTTTAACTAAGAAGGAACGCAGATTGCGGTCTCTCTTGAAAGAAAAGGGAGGGCGTTCTTTGAAAATGTCAGAAGTAGTAGGATCAGATTTGAGTAAATTAAAACTACGATTAATGATAGGATTGACAGAGTTGTTAATGGGATGATAGGTAAACGTGAACGGAATACTGTCTAGGTTAGAGGTGCGAGCCTTAGGAGTAAGAGCAGTATTGCGGTCTATGGATGAAGCTTTGTGCATAGCCCGATCGATGATAATAACTGGATAACCTTCTAGTACACTTTGTTTCATGGGTCTATAAAAACCACCACTCAATAAGTTTAAGTAAATTTAATTATTTATTCTAAATCACTCTGAATGAAAAACCTTTCATTTTTTTGAAATTAAATTCCGCCAATCTATGTAGAGGAATGCAATTTTTTTCATAAATATTTCTCATAATGAAGTAATATTATTAGATATTTAATTGATAATTAAACTGTAAATTTTATTGAAATATTTTATGAAAAATTGTCACAATGTGTAGTTTCAGAAATCATCCATACCCACCCCATAGAGGAATTTGGAATTTCTGAAGAGTAGGGGGGTCAGAGAAAGAACAAAAATTACCGAGTTGTAAGGAAGAAAATTGGAATTTCCGGGGGTTAGGGGGGTGTCTCAAAAAAATTCCTCTGTGAGGGGGGTATGGATAATTTTTGGAATTACACAATTGGATAAATAAATATATGTATAACTAAATATGCAATGTGATGTTTTTGTTGAGTGATTGTGTTTATGGGTTAAAGTAATCTTTCTATTCATTTTTTCATTCATTCATTCAACTATTCATTAATTCTGAACTCTAAACAGTCCCTCTTTTCCCATCTAACACAGGCGTGTCAAGTTTTTCCCAAACTTGGTCACACGGGAAGTGGGGAAGAGTGATAAGTGCTGCTTCAAACTGGCCCACACTCCCTACATGGCCGAGACAGAAAGACTTGACTTGACTGAGTTAACTGCGATTATTTTGTAATGAAACATACAGCCTAATATATTGGCTAGATCATAGAGTACATTGCTTGGGCTTCCTGTGGTTGGAAGTGAATGTGTTTGTGGTACATATGGGCTCCCTGTGGTACTAAGATCGCGGGCTCGATCACATGACATATCCCCGCCAAAACAGAACGAAGGCGCGAGTTTGCGAAGATTGTTTGGAAAGAACAGAAAAAATCTGGTAAAAAGAACTTTTTGACTTGCTTTTTATTGTTTATTTTTAGTCTACTTCCTAAGGTAAGAGTGTATTAATGCGGGAAACTCGTTTGGAGGTCGTATTCAGTAAATTCCCTACAACTAAGCGATGAATTTGGCAACAAAACACGCAAGGAAGATGAAGCTTTATTTGACTTTCTTCGATTGTTGATTGAATGAATGAAGTGAATATTTCCACAATTATCCCTCTTATGCATTGAATAATACAGTACTAACAAAAAAATACAGTTTATTTTATGTCAGAATGAAGGAGGTTAGTTACTTTGGGTTTGGGACAAGTGATAATAAATGTGTGATTGCATCTTTATGAATGAACGTCTTACAAACCGAAGATTTCGATATTCTACCCAACCATTTTAAGTTTTATTAACGACATTAAAAAGTCTTTAACCTATATCTGAAGTAGTAGTATAAGAGGAATATAAATGCTTTAATGTTGTAAACATTCCTTGACGTTTATTGGTATACTTTGTTTAGCTGGTTGTGAGTATTCTTACAATAACAGCAGTCGTTGATAGTTTAATCTCCAAATCGTAATATTTCTATATTTTTCCTTTTCCTTTGCTTTATTTTAGGTCAAAAAATTTTGATGAATCGTTTGGAATAATAAAAGCAAAAAAGAAATGCCAGCTTTGAGGACAAGGAAAGAAGATGAAACTGTCAGTCCAAGTGAAGCATCTAGCCCAGCATCTGGGGTGACTCCAGCCTCTAAAGTCAAAGAGGTGATGTACATTTTTACCATCAATAATGGCTCTTAAGCCATTCCACACTGTGTTTTCAAAAGGCTCTGTTTTTGCGTCAACAAACGAAAAAGAATTGGAAAGTTTGTGTTTTCAAATAAAAGCACATTCATTTGGACATGGCATTAGAGATGCCATCTTCTTTACGATCAAGAGGAGTGTATTCCCTTATGAGTTATACAGCCAGACACTGGCAGATCTATCCATGTATTAGCATCCTTAATGTTGCCAAGGTTTCCTTGGGGTGGGGAAATGGATATGGTTGACACTAATGAGTTGAATTTGTTTTGGATGAAAAACTGTGGTATAGTTTCTACCAATCAAAGTGACCAGTCTACCAAGCTATTTTAGTAGTTGTAAATGGTCATCATAGCAAGACTACAATTCAGCATGACCATTCATTTTGATTTGTTTCAAATTGCTATCTTTCTTGGATAGTAGGATACTAAAACATTATTTTGATATATATATATATATATATATATATGATATGTACATTAGGCTAAAGATGACAAGAATGATTCTCCTCGTCGTAGTGGTAGGAAATACAAGCAAAGAATACTGTTTGGTCATGAAAAAATTCAACCAACTCCATCACCTAGTGCATCCAAAAAAACAAAACTTCCCAAGAAAACAGTAGAAAAACCTGATAGTGACGAAGAACAAGAAGAACAAGAAGAAAGGTTAGGCCAACAAGTTTTGATTCAATATTTTTATTTACATCTTAAGAAATCTTATACAAACCCTCTTCAATGAAACCTGGTCTTTTTCCCCAAGACAAGAATAAAAGAAGACACAAAAAATCATCTATTTAGTGTAACTAAGAAACCCCATAGCAGATTATTAATGAGGGAGAAATCAAATAGTCTGATATAGAGATATAAATTCTAAGTACACTTTCTAGTTCATCTGATGAGGAAGTACCTGAAAGTAATAGTGAAGAAGAGGAAGTTGTGACACCACGCAAGGCAACACCTAAAGGAAGGAAGACAACACCTGCTACTCCTAAGACTAACCCAGTAGGTGTACCTGCTTTGAATGTGTAATCTAGAATACAACCATACTTCTGTATATTGTTACAGTGCTGTGTGCCCAACTGTGAACACCCAACAAAGTTTTTGACATCTTTTTATACTGCTAACCAATTAGACATCAGCACTTCTCATTGATGTTTGGATAGGTGGATTCTGTACATCGATGTAACGATATCAGAACATTAAAGTGAAGCGCCAAAACATTATTGGTTAGCGGTAAAGAGATTGATTAAAACTTGTACAAAAATTTGTATAAAACTTTGTTGGGTGTTCACGGTTCGGCGCAAAGCACTGTAAGAGGATCTTGTGGATATTTTCTGTAGCTTAATGTGTTGTGTGAAAATCAAAACATGTAGCAAACTGAACTGGTTTCTCTTGATTTTAAGTTTGGCAAAAAGGGAAGAACACCAAGCAGAGCAACTCCAGGAAGAAAGAGAAAAGGAAAAGCAACAAGTCAAGACGATGATGATCAAGGAACCTTGTTTGATATTGTCAAAGCTGGGAAAGGAGCTCTGAGAGTAAGTATTTTATTCATTTATCAATCAATCCATTTATTTATTCATTCATTTATTTATTTGTTTGTTTGTTTATTTGTTTATATTTATTTATCCACTCATTCTTTGTTTAACAGGCTGTAGTTGATGATTGGATAGAAAGCTACAACAAAGATAAAGAGGCAGCCATGGTTGATATTATACAATTCTTTGTTCAGTGTTGTGGATGTAAAGGTAACTGACACTGATGGTTTAGTTGATTATTGTTGAGTATGTTAATAATTAATAACCTCTTGGCTGATCTAAGTCATGGAATGCATGGCTAGCTTGAATATCCATTTCATTTCTTTTTCTCAGGGACTGTTACAAGCTCAATGCTTGATGAAGATGAAAATGTTGATGCTGTTAGACAGTTGACAGAACAGTTTGATGAAGTAAGCCTAATTTTCGTGATTTGGATCTAGATATTTTGGAAATTAATGCATTGGTTTGTAATTATATTTTGTAGGAAAGTCATGAATATCCTCTAATAATGTCTGGACCTTCTCATAAAAAATTTAAGGTATACATATTACTTTATTGCTTTTTTAAAACCTCTTTTTATTACTGGAATTCTGATGATGATTTTCTATTTCGTTTATGCCTTATAGACAAATTTTATAGCCTTTGTACATACTCTAGTAGTCCAGTGTCAGCATTCTATAATATATGACGAGTACATGCTGGACACCCTGGTGTCATGGTTGATCAGGCTGTCTGACTCACAGGTCAGAGCATTCAGGCATACTAGCACACTGGCAGGTAATGCTTATTTCTCATTAGTAATAATTTGCACAAAGTTGCAGAAAATGATGCAGGTGATGATGATGATGGTGTTGGATGATGATGTTGGATGATGCAGGTGATGATGATGATAAAATTAAATGAAGATGATGATAATGTTGAATGATTGATGGTGTTAGATGATGATAATGATAATGTTGAATGATTGATGATGTTGGAGGATGCAGGTGATGATAGTGTTAGATGATGATGATGATGATAATGTTGAATGATTGATGATGTTGGATGATGCAGGCGATGATGATGGTGTTTGATGAAGATGAAGAATAATGACAAGGAATAAAAGGATATTGCGTAGTAAAATGATGATGRTGGTGGTGGGAGTATTGATGATAGTGAAGCTGACCATAATATCCTTAACTTTTAAGATTGACATGAGTGATGATGATCATAATATAATGGATCAGAGATGGCATTGACAGTAATGATAATATTCTTGATGTAGTTAGGAGAACTTTGCAAATACTTGCTATTAATATTGTATTCTTCATTATCCAGGAATGAAATTAGTGTCTGCCTTGATCCATATTGCCAAGAATGTACACATTGAACTAGATAATACCCAGGTATTCATTCTGACCATCAAAATTTGAGTTCTATTTTTTTTATAGCTATCATTCTAACCTTACTATTATGATTTCAACAGCGTCAGTTAGACAGTGAGACACAAAAATCCACTTCAAAGAAAGCCCTGGAAAAGATTGATATGCTGCAAACCAGAAGGCAGGAGGTAAGCAACTGACTGTTTTTTTGAGAATTCTTTCTGTCTTTCGTTAAACCAATTATTAACTGTTCCTTTGATAGCTGAGACAAAACATTAATGATCTTGAAGAAATGATGAACTTTATCTTTCAAGGAATGTTTGTCCATCGATACAGGTAAGTGTGTTTCAGGTCCGGGGGGGGGGGGGGGTACTCCCCTATATTCACTATACGGGTACGTGCCGCCAAACAGGGTACGGTTTTCAGCGATTCTACTCTGGAACAGGGTATATAAAATCCCGCTTGCTCTGGAACAGGGTATATGAAATCACAATCTCTCCTCTCTGGAACAAGGTTTTCAGCGATCCTGCTCTGGAACAGGGTATGAATTTCAGCGATTTTTACTCTGGAACAGGGTCAGGGTTCAGAGGGCTCAGCGGCACATCCATACCCTAAACGGGCAAGAGTACCCCCGGGGTTTCAGGGTGTTGAATCACCTTCATTTTGGGCAGCTATAAAATCACCATCCTCTCATCAGTAATGCCTTAGGTTTCAACATCTTTGTCATTTCCATCGTAATATTTTATCATCTTTTCAACTACCTTCATAATTCTCATTAAATTATAATAATGATAACAACATAAAACACATTTGTCTGATTTGACTTAATAATTTCTACAGAGATTCCAGGCCAGAAATAAGAGCCCTTTGTATCTCAGAAATAGGAGAATGGATGAAAGAATACAGGTATCAGTATTTATTAATCATTTGTGTCATCAAACCACATTATCAAACCATAATCCTGATATCTGCTTCCTTTGCAGCACCTTGTTCTTAAATGACAAATACTTGAAATATATAGTATGGAACCTACATGATAAGGTGAGGAGTAAACATTCCCTTTGTTAGTCTACTCACCAAAATTCATAGAATTCATAGAATTTGGTTGTTTTAGATTGCTTTCCATTAGGGCGAACCTACCAGTCAGAGCAGCCATTGCATAAATAGTATGGGTCAGTCCTTATTAGTGATTAGAATTCAATAAATCAGTTCCATAGGACTGATGCTTACCATTTGAAAACTGGCCACTGGGACTGGTAGGTTATACCTCATGGAAAAAACCCTTAGAATTAATACTTAATGACTTGTTGTAGGTTGGAGAGGTAAGATTAAAGTCACTCCAGGCTTTACTGGGACTTTATGGTGACGAAGATCTTGTACCACACCTGGATGTTCTAACTACAAGATTCAAGGTATTTAGAATTAATTATCTCTTTACCCTCTATTTACATCTGTTTTTTAAAAAAATGTCTGTCTGAAATCTGAGACGGAGTAACACCCTGCAAAATGAAATAATATATTTAATGCCCAACAATGTAACACAGTTTCCTTTTAGATTGGAATATGACCTTTGAGTTAGGAATATAATTTTTTGTATTTAAGCCAGAAGACATAATAGCACAAATATTTCGTTTAGTCTCAGATCGACCATTTCAGTTCTCGGACCAAAAACGTTTTTTGAAATAAGTGTATGCTAGTAATAATAGACCCTCATTATTGAAGATTACAACAGTTTTCTGAGGGGGTATGAAATGGCTATTTGTGACCATTATTTTGACCCTAATACTTATTCCAGTCAGATACAGATTCATCTTATGTTAGATTTAAAATTTGTTTCTTGTACCAACAGGATAGATTTGTTAGTATGACACTTGACAAGGATAATGAAGTTGCCGTAGAAGCCGTCAAGCTGATGATTCATATGTATCAGTGAGTATTATGCATCATTTCTCTTTTGGTGAAGAACAACCAGGTTGCTAGCCTTGGTTGGGTAGGTGGGTTTGTTGGTTGGTTGAATGGTTGAATGGTAGGCAGGTGGGTGGGTTGGTACAGTAGGTAGAAATGGTTGGTGGGTGGGTATAAGTGGGTTGATTGAATAAGTGGTAGGTAGGTAGGAGGATGGGTGGTCAGCAGGAATAGGGGGAGGGGAGTGGCATACCTCCACATATTTAAAGGATTTATTTACTGTCTGTTTGCTATGGTTACTGTAATAGGTATGATAAACTAGACGAAGAAGACTGTCAACAGGTGCAGTTGTTAGTGTTCTGTACGCACAAGCAAGTTGCGCATGCAGCAGGACAGTTTCTTTACAAGAGAATCAAGGATGCAGCTGAGGAAGATATCAAGCCTAACAAATCTAAAAAAGGTATTAGCTGTGTTGAATAAAGATGATATTGTAATATTGCATGAATGGGTAAAACATGGGTGCAGTCAAAATGACTGGTCTAGAGGACTGGCTTGAGAAGCATTTGGCTGGAGAAGTGTCAATTTAAACTAGTCATTGTCCTCCATTGACTGACCATTATTTTAGCCCTGCTCTTATTTAATAGTTTTTTTTTATAATGTAATGACTACTTTGGTTACAATAGGCAGTAAGAAGTCAGACAAAGAGACCAAAGCTGTACAATTAAAGAAATTATTGGAGTTCTTTATCAATAGTGAAGTACATAATCATGGTGCTTACCTTGTCGACAGCTTATGGAACACTGCATCTCTAATTAAGGTATGATGAATATGATTTAACAAACAAACCAACTTTGATAGATGAAGGTGTTTGTTAGCTCTTGGTGCTTCAAGGTTTTTCTATGGTTCTCCTTGCTTTACAAAAATCATTTTCAAATTCCAATTTGATCTTGTAACAAGCGCCACAGGTTTCTTTAGCTAGGGCTATTAAGTGTTATTCCTAATAAGAGTAAAGAATACAACCCCCAAATTATTGTAATTGGGTTGTTAGCAAATAGCACACTGTTAACCTACCAACATATCCTACCAACAACATGCCAACACCCTACCAATGACCTGCCAACATCCAGGCAATACCCTACCATCTCCTACTGATTTGACAACCATATTAAAATCCGATCTAGGACTGGAAGCTGATGACAGATATGCTGCTGGATAAAGCAGATGAAGCAGGTACAATAATATTAGAGTCTAATATAAATATATTCATAGTAGTTTTAAGACGTTTGTGGTGAAGACATAATGTTTCGTGAGGTTTTATGTTTTCCACTTGAGTTTGAAAGAGTGTCATTGAAGTTTCAGCTGTTTTTGTCGCAGCCATCATGCCATCGCAAGTGACAATAACAACGTTATGAACTCATGTGGAAACTATAAGACCATAGATAGGTCATATGACAATGTTTCTTGCATGTCTTAATATAGGGCTTGATGATAAAGAAGAAGAAGCTCTGATTGAAATAATGGTCAGTTCTTGTAAGCAATCATCCCAAGGTCAGGGACCTCCTGGAAGAGTAGTAAGAAAGGTAAGAAGTCTAAAACTGATTGGGGTAATCAAGGGTGACATAGTTGTAGTGCACTCGCCTCTCACCTTTGAAGTCTTGGGTCAATCCTCGACTCAACATCACATTGAATTGAGTTGGGTATCTGCCTTGATTAAGGGGTTTTTATCTGTGTTCTCTAGTTTCTTACCCTCTGCAAAACCTACCACTATAATAATGCCTGAATGCAGAAAGCAGAAAGAAAATTGGCTTTTTCATTTCTATCCACTCCAAAGTACCACTACATTTGTAACATTGCTTGATGTGTGAATCCCATTATAATATGTGGTTTTCTATAGCTTTTGAGTAGTAAGGAGAAGAAGACCATAATCAGTGACAAAAAAGAACTTAGTGCACACTTCATGCAGACTGTACCAGACCTCTTGGCTAAGGTATGTTGCTATTACACACTTACACTTGACAGTGTAAGATCTTTGTTTTAAAATTTGTCAAAAATTCATTTGTTTTCTTTTACTTACTCACAGTATGGAACAGACAATGAAAAAGTCCTCAGCCTTGTGTCCATGCCACAGTGTTTTGACTTGGAGGAATATGGTCAAAGACGACTAGGCAAGGTATGTCTTGAAAAAATATGATATTTACCCTACTCCTATAGAAGAGTAGTATTAGAATTCTATATGCAGCATTAGTGATATATTATGTTATAAGAGGTCTATACACTCAATTACAGGAGAGTAAGATTCTATCGTTTTGTGATCCAAATTAAAATGCATTAGAGATATACTCAGAACAGTCTATATTTCCTTGAAAGTCTCAGGGCTCTACTTAATGACATCTTAAAACTCCATAATGAACCAAGAAGCAAGGAATAACTATATATAATTATATTAAATATAAATATATATTTAATACTTTAGTATTTAGAAGAACTGCTCAATCAGTTGGACAGTGTCGTAGAAAAGAGCACAGATCCAATGGTACGTATTGGCTCAAAGTGTAAATGGGTATTATGTTTTTCTTTCTTAGGGTGGATCCTTTAAAAATTTTCTATTTTCTAATTTCATCCTCATTATTTTGTCCTAATGATACACAGTTTGAAATGGGAGAACATTATGCCCAAGTATAAAGTGTTCCTTTTGAGTTTTGACTTTTATTTGTAATCTGAAATGTTACCAGTCCTATTATTTATTATCCCTATAGGTGTTGCAAGAGTGTGCCAAGACATATCGAGCTTTGACAGACAGTGAATACACACTCAGTACCACAGCTGTAAGTAGATTATACATTATACATCTTTTTTGTCATCAACATCCTCATTATCCATTTTTATTAATATATAATCATTGACCATGATTCTCAGTCATCATCATTATTACCTCAATTATTTGTGATAATCTTATCATCTTCCTTCATCATCCTCTTGAATACCATCACTTGTTATCTTCACATCTTCTCATTCATCATCATCTTCAAATCATCATAATCTCCATGATGATGATTCCTTGAAAAGATCTTATTTTATATAACAGGAAGTATCACGGAACAAACTGGTTGATCAATTTGTTGAAGCGTTCAAGGGAAGCTTACAAAATGGACTTAATGCTGTAAGTTATATTTTGATATCAGTAATATTATTTTGGAATCAATGTGTACTTGCCTGTGTGAGCTAGCCATGCCTGACTTAGATCAGGTTGTTTCAGGGAATCAATAAAATAATTCCTGAACTACAATATCTCTGGCCTGATCAATAATTATTACTGATACCTGCAGGATGATGATGATGAGGATAATAATGACAGATTTGTTCTAATTTCAAATCTGGAGAAAATTTCAGCCTTCTACAAGTAAGTCATGGCTCATGCTTCTTTGCACTCTTCTTTCATGTTACAAGTAATGGCAAATAATGCAACTCGTAGAACTTGAAAGCAAACAGCAAGGCAAGCAAGTAATGCTAACCACAGGGGGGGGGGGGGTAATGTAAACATGCTTGTATATTTAAGCAACAACCGCCAACTCATTCTCTCCACGTTAACTTTGATTAATAATGACATTTAAAACTGATGTACATAGAGCACATGATCTTGGAAGTTGGAAGCTATATGACAACCTACATCATATCATGCATCATGCAACAACAGACCAGGAGACAGTACCAGATAGAGTATGTATTTATGATAATAGCCACAATATTTATGTGGTATGTTGGAGGGATGGAGTAAAGGAACAATACAATGCTTTTGCAATATAAGATTTGGCTTTTCAATGACATTTTAAATTTTCATGCTCTACAACATCTTTGTCATTAACGATTATGATTCAGAATCACATGAAGTTGTGTTACATGTGTTATGTATCGTATTGAAATCAATACAAGAGTACAATAATTGTAATTTGTGTCCTTAATTATTTCAGATTCTTATTCTTACAATAAATGCCATGCAGTGTTTGTTGTTATGGACTCTGACTGGGCTGGATGCTAACCATCCAGATAAGGTATATTTATATATCTAATCCTATTAGCTTTGGGCTTAATATCGATCCGTATTTAAAGTACAGGTGATATGTGCTGCTAATACTTCCCCTCGTCATGGGTTTATCATTGCTCTCACCATCATATTTTGAAGTTGTGTTTTTTCTCCTGTGCTTTGAGTGTTTTTCTCTGGGTTCTCCAGTTTTCCTCAATCTGCAACAATGACACAGAAATGTCATTTTTATTAGTCATTTAATGAATTATCATTATCCTTTAGGCACAATTGAAGAAGCTAAAGAAATGGTCAACAACCTTCATCAGGCAATGTGAAGAGCTGGTTGGATATAGTAATACAGAAGTTAGAATAGAGGTACAATATGTCTAGAAATATTGATCCCTGATCATCCTTATCTGATTAGATGAATTGATTGATGTGCTGTCGATTTTATCAACCTATACTATGGATATCACTGAACTGGGTTGTACTCCAAAAATGCATATCACGGTCATGCCTTGAAACTCTAGGACCCCACCCACAAATGTCACACTTTTAGTCTGTATTCCTTTCTCCACGTGTCAGCATCCATGTGAAAATTGAAGGGACGAAAGTTATCAAAAGGTTCCAAGGCATGGAGAAAGGAAAGGATTACAAGTGTGACATGTGGGTGGAGTCGTAGAGACTCTAATTTTCTGGCGTAAAATCCCTGTTCTGTGACGTCTTTAGTATTATATGCCTTAATCACATTTAATTACAGTTTAATTATGCACATTAGCCCTTCATATAAAAGAACTGTGCTATATTAGTCAATAGAGCATGGTGCTGAAACCATGCATCATTGTTACATATTTTCTTTCCATATCATAATAAAACAAATCACAATCCATACCACAACAATGATTATTTTTTCTCATCATTTATGTAGGCTTTCCTCTGTGTTTGTGACCTACTTATTGTGTTTGCTAAACAACTCAAGAATCAATGTAAGTACCTATTCTGGAAATCACATTTTTCTAGACAATTAAGCCTGTCTGAAATTGAAATTTCCAGGAAAAGGAAAGAGTAACAAATCATAATTGTAATTCATATATTTTATCCCTATGTTTGTATATTTGGTCCAATGGAAGGAAGGATCTGAGCAAGAACAATTTCGGGAAGGGAGGGGGGTGTTGCTCTATCCCCCTCTCCTGGATCTGACCACACGAAGGGTGTTTTTATAATATTATGCCAAATTCCTGTGGTTAAAGGATTTAACATTCTCGTTATAATTTATGGAATTAATATATCCTCTGAATCTTTTGTCATGTTACTTACAGCACCTCTATTGGGTCCTTTGGTATATGAACCCAGTGATTCCTTCCAAGCTACCTGCCGGGATTTCATTGTCAACCATATATTTGACAACATTAATGAGGATGAACCAGAGGAAGAAGATGGTACGTAGTATAATATAGTATATCATTTGGGTGGTGGGTAAGAAAGCCTCCTCTACAGGCAGCCATCACTTTTTGCGACCAGTAATCAAGATTCGGGCTTGGGGTTCCTATTCTACCAAATAATGAGAGAGACTGGGGAAATGTTTTTCTTCCCAACCCTTTCCCAGTCCTTTTTTAGATTGTAAATAACACAGGACTCACAATTCAGTAATTTTACTCTGGAACAAGGTCAGGGTTCAGAGGGCTCAGCAGCACATCCCCACCCTAAACGGGCAAGAGTACCCCCTCCCCACCCCTCAAGGGAAATGTGCACATTAACATATCATTTAACATATTGAATTGTGTGTCTTTAAAAAGATGAACAAACAGATGAAAAGGTGGAGGAACTGAGTAGGAAAAGGACAATGCTAGCAGCATTTCTCAAGCTTGTTATTTTCAATGTGTTTGACATGGGGCTTGCTGCACCAGTGTTTTCATTTCTAAACAAGGTGAGACTTCCTACTCTATCTAGTGACTGAAAGAGTGTAGGGTGGAGGAAAAGTTGGATTTTGCAATAAAAAATGGAAATGTAGCTTGAAATTATGTCAAAAATAAAAATGAGATAAATTATGAGAATTGTGGATAGAAAATGGGATATTATTTCATGATGAATTTCGTGAAGAAGACATTTTGACTGAGTAGAAAGTTCATGATGATAATAAAACATCCATTACTGAATGGAGCACATAAAAAGCTGTTTTATTTGTTAATAATCCAAGACTTGGTGTTATTTAGGCATTCAGCGACTTTGGTGACATCATCAAACATGCTATGAACAAGTGTAAAGAGATTAATAAAACTACATATGTAAAGACGTTACTGGCTGCCTTACAGCAGGTATGTCTAGTTTGTTTTCAACTACATAAATGTTACAATGTTTTATTTAAATTTGAATTATTTATTTAACAGTTTTACCACCTCAGGGGTATGCCTCCATATCTTATACGTATACACTCTTAAGACTGTAGGCTCACTGTGTTTATTTCCCAGGATTTCCTCAACTTGAAGGAAGAACAGGAGGGAGAGGTTGATGTAAAGTCTGAAGAATTTTGTATCATTAAGGTATGCTTTAATATCAGCCTGCCCTGTGGAAAAGGGGGGGGGGAAATAACATTAACAGGCATCCCAGACCTCCTATATATCCTATATTTCCTATAATTTGTATAGGATCCTATAAAGAGCCTATATTTAAAGAAAACCTCCTATATTTCCTATAAATAGGATAACTGCTAAGTGATTCATTTATATTTTACACTGTTTAGCATATTTGGCGAAGGAAATAAAATGGCCCCTTTTTTTTTGGTTCTGTTTTTTTTTTTATGGCTTTTTAGTTCTGCAAATCATTGCCTGTGCACCCTCCCGATCCCTGGTTACGCCACTGAAAAGCTATCTTAGCTCCTATAAAGTGCATATATTTTTGGGAAAAAATCCTATATTTTCCTATATTTAGAACTTGCACAGCCTATATTTCCTATCAAATTTGTCTAAAAAGTGGCTGGGATAGCTGCATTATTAGTCTCTTTGATTGCGTATTTGATTACAAAAGTCTAAAATTAATCTGATATTTGATAATTTATAAATCATAATACTAATACTAATAAAATACTAATGTAATAATAAGAATATATAATCCACTCTGATTACTTTTCAGGACCTGGCTCATCGATTTGCACTCAGTTTAGGAGTAGATACAACAAAATCTCAAGCAAGGGAAGCTTTGATCACATTACACAGGTAATAGGCTCAGGGTCAGCATCAATACACCAGTTTTGAGTTCCAAATTACCAGTGTGTTCCCTGATTACAGACTCATTTATACAGCATTAGCCTTGCATCAGTGTTAAAATATTCACAAATACCAACGGTAAAGTAAAGGATGCACAATTTTAACAATACAAACACATTGAAACTCAATGGAACTTGACTGGAACACATGAATATTCTGTAATCAAGGAACACAGCAGTTGTTTGGAACTCTAAAATGGTCTATTTGAGTAGAATATTCATTCGTTCCAGTGAAGAGCTGTGGAATCCTATATCAAATAACACAGTGGTGTCAAAGAAATTTGAAAACAGGCTGGCTATTCTAACACTCAATTATTACTTCTGTTGGATTTTCATTTCATGTTACTTTTAATAATCTTGCATTCCCAGAGAAGGAATACAGTATGCATTATCCAAGAGTACAGGAAAGAAGCAGTCCCCCAAGAAAGGAAACATCCCTCCACCAAACCTGCCATTCTTTGACATCTTAAATGAATTCACATTTCGGTTGATTCCTCAGGACAAGACAGGAAGGAGTGGAGTGTAAGTATTGTCATAAGAAATAGAAAACACCCATGTGTGTAGTTATGGTATACATGAGAAAGGTGTTTACCCCACCCCCCTGTGGATGTGCTTACTTACCCTACCCCCTGTAGATGCACTTACCTTTTTGTTTTACCTTGTTTTTCAGTTTACCATTTCTTAATAAAGAAGCTGGAGATAAAGTGGAAATGAAAGGAGATGAATGGAATCCCTTGATCACCTATAGAAACAATCTCCTTGGTAACCAGGAGGGAGAAGGTACTATGAATGTTAAGACAACACTATTATACTTCACTCTCACTGTGGCCTGACAGTACATTAGTTTATATAATTGTCACAAAAAATTGGTGCTCATAATATCCTCCAAACCCCAAAAAGTCCAATTTGATGGTTTGATCATTTCCAAGAGAGTCAAATGACGAAGACATGGTGGTCATGTTGCTGGTATTAACAATAGAAGCTAAAATAAGAATTCTGTTGTTGAATATGTAATGTGCAAAATAAAGGATTATGAATGTATGATCTGCAACATTACTGTAATATTTCAACAAGATATCGTTATTTTTCTCTTAATTGTAGAGGGACAATATGACAACCAATACAAACTTTTTCTAGTAAAATTTGCCTGAAGAATCTCAAGTTTCAGTTCCAAATTCAAAAATTTCCCCAAAGCTGATTTACTTTTATTATCTAATGATATCGTTTGTAGAAGAACATGAACCACAAAAACAAGACAAATCCAGGAGTGCTCGTGGCCGTCCAAAGAAACCCCCTGCACCACCTCCCGTACAAGGTAAAGGAAAGAAACGTCAAGCTTCACCTGAGAAGGAGGATGAAGACAGTGCAGATGATGCTGTCCCTCTAAAGAGAACTAAGAAGATGAGAGAAGACACTGAACAATCACATGTGGAACCAGAACGAGAAGAGAAACCAGAGGGAGATTCAGGAGAAGAGAGTGGTTTGGATGAGAAAAACACAAAACAGCAAAAAAGAAAAAGACAGGATTCAGAGCACTCTGAGAATCCAGAAGAAGGAGAAGAGGATGGAGATGAGGACTTTGACAAGTAAGCAAGACAGATACCCTGCTATAATAATGAAATAAACTGTCGTCCCCCAAGAGTAAATTTGTCGTCCCCCAAGAGTAAAGGAAATGTAGGAAGGGGCTATATATTAGTTGTCTAGAAAACAGTATTTCCCCTAGAAATCTCCCAGGCTCCCAGTATTTCATAATCTCATTTTTTTCATTCACTTTCATTTTCAGTTCTGGAGTTCCTTCTTCCTCACAGAAGTCATGGATGGCAAGTCAAACTAAAGCCAGTAAGAGACCAAGAATAAGCTACAGTAAAAAGGATAGAGATAAAGTGCCGTAAGTAGTGTCAGTGCTACTGTTGAATTTACTGTCAGTAGTAGAGTTGAAAAATGACACGGTACAAATGTCATACAAACTCTTGAAACAGCATTTCATAAAAGCTGCAACAGTAAGTATTGTTCTGTGGCTGGCCATGATGTCTGGCCACTGAGCTGCTGTCCCTCATAGCCCTGCTGATAAAAGGTACAGGGTTAAGCCTAATTTGATGTCAGCTGTTCCTTCGGCTGGTAGCTGGTCCAGGGAGCTGACAGTGCACACTTTACTTCCCTCTCTCTATGCCTTACCCTTACAGATACTGCAGGGTAGTAATGAGTTAGTCATGTGACAGCTAGAAGTTGAAATGTAATTAATTTTCAGGCATCCCAGACTAGAAGATGATGATGATGACGAAGTGGGAGATGAACAAAATATCGAGGAATATAAAAGTGAAGAAGAATCTGAGCCCAAAAAGGTACAGGTTCGGGATTTATTCAAAGCCATTCCTTGGTTCACAAATTCTTAAGGAATTTAGCATTTCAGAATTTCAGTATATTAGTAAATTTATGATATTTATCCAATACCCATTGCCCACTGACAATCTCAGTATTACATTTATATTGTTCTATGATTTTGTACATGTATAGAAAGCTCCACTTCGAGTGAGAAGAGAAAAACGAGAGATTCCAGAAAACTTTTTTGATTCACAAGAAAACAAATCCACAGTAAGTAAACTTTCCTTTTTTTTTTTTTTGCATTTAAAAACTATCCATGTATTTAACTCCTTATAACCTTTTAAACAAATACTATTTGATATTTCTTTGCCTATAGGAAGATGATGGCACATTAGATGAACCAGCGATATAGCATTTATGAAGACTTGCCTGATCAAACAATATTCTAAAGTCTTGCCTTTTACATGCATCAAAACAGCCCACCATGATGCTAGGGGTTCAAATGTGCAGTGTCAAAACATGTACATATTTGAGATTTTTATACTGATGTAGTGACTCTCGGAGCCCACATAAGGGATTTTATAATGCAGTGTTCTAACAGTCACGCCTTTCTTTTCATTGATACCATATCAGGTGACCTAGCACACACCTTGCTAGAATGATTGTACTTACCTTACTACTATTGCAGCAAATAGTTTGTATCATGTTGTAGTTTATAGTCAAAAGAAACCTAGAGCTGCTTATCTACAAGACCTCCAAGGTATAGGGGCTTAATTTATTACAAGGTTGCTGTCTTCTAGTCATGGCATCTTCATACTTACATACCCCAACAATTTAAAGTTGGTTGCAAGTTTCATGATTGTATTTTAGAAGCTATTTTTAGTAAACCAGTTTTAAAAAGCAGGTTTTGAGTCTTGTCTGTTGGTTTCTGCTTGAAAGTAAGATCCCTGTGCATTCTTCACTGTTTTAAGTAAGTTATCAAAAGTTTCACTCAATTTTTCCCAAATGTCAGGAAGCTCAGGGCCTGGTTGTATGAAGCCTGGATAGCACTATCTGGGGAATAAATCCTTATCCAGTTGATAAGTCGATGCTGTTATCCAATAAACTTTTCCACTGGATAAGATTTATCCGTCGGATAGCGATATCCAGGCTTCGTACAACTAGGCCCAGAGTAGCAAACAATTGTGGAACATTTTACAGATTTTATTGTTTAAAATGTTGCAATCAAATTGTGCCAAGCTAAATAGAAGAGAGGTAGATGACACTACTTCAAAGAAATCCACTGGTTGATTTCATTCCATTTAACGCAGGAAATAAATAATATTAATCCAATAGAAATTATTACTTTATCAATTTCATTCAAGTATTGGATTTTGTTTTATAGTTATGACGCAATCCCTCTAACCTGTTGCTATTTTCATCATTTGAATACTGAAGTTGTTTGTGGAAAACAAACTTACCAATTTTGTTATTAATAATCATTTATTTCACTCGTTAAATGGAATCCCTTATCATACCCAGTTTCTTGGATGTGCTATGATTATAGTTTCTTTGCAAATATTCATTCTTAATTTAACTCTCATCCATCCTTTTACATGGAATTACTCCAGGAATGGAGAGCAAAAACAAAATATCATGCAAAGTTGAAAAAAAGAAATCTCAATAGATGTTCCCTTGGACTAGTTGTGCAATTATAACGAACAGAAGTACCCAGGGTACAAAGAAATGCATCCCCTATGCAAAAAGTTGCTTTAAATAAATACAAATGTATTAAAGACAAAGACAAAGTTGTTTTCCAAACAAAATTACTAGCATATACGTAACTATGCTACAAGAAGACAAATCAATCTCTAAACTAGCCTCCTACAGACATTCTTGGGGTTATCACACACCTTCTTTCCCCAGGAACATTGCACTGTGCTGAGGTCCTTCAAATATCTAAACTTCCTCCAAGCCTCCTTAGCAAATTTTAAATATAGACTCAAGAGGATGCAACATTTCAATTTAGAAGAGAGGGAGATATGATAATCTAATGCATAGACTTGCTACAAGTCTCGCTCGCTAATTTTTTCCATTGCAAGCTCGGATTCAAATAGTGAATTTCCAGTTACGACAGCTTTTCAAGGGGAATGGCATGAAGGAAGCGAGAAGGTGAAGCCGCCCTAACCAGAAGTGCACTATTTGAATGTCAGCTTGCAAGAAAAAAATTTAGTGAGCAAGACTTGGAGCAAGTCTAGATGCACTGCAGCTGCCCATTTTTGTTTGGACATTTTAAGTTTTACTGACAAATAATTATTGACCTTACTTTAATAAACATACACTTTGCTACTTCATTTACATGCCATTTGTTCTATACTAACCTAGATTGTGTAGTAAAGTCATTTCAATTAACCTGTAAACTGGATGGTAGTAGTTGACAATTTATTTGTTCTCAACTGCCTGTAGAAGGGTTAAGTGCAATCTTTTTACCTTGTGAAATCTTAAAATACAGATGCATAACCTTTGTTATTAGCTTACAAAAAGGAATGAACCAAGGATGCATGTAATCTGCATATATAGTCAGGACAGTAATCAGCCAATAAACTACCACCAAATAAACCATTCAGGTAGGTTCCCATGATGGCAGCCTATTGCTAGATTTCTCTGTCATGACTATTGCCTCAATCGGCACATAGCAATAAAAACAGTAATTTTATATTTTTGATTCTTTTTCAGACGTTTATAGTCCATCACCAATAGCCAACTCCATATAATCCCTAAAACACTTATTAACCTTACAGAAATTTGTGAATGCTCTACTTTTTTGTTTCCACGATTAGAAGACAACTACAGGATTTTTTGTTTCAGGGGTTAAAAGGAATACCCCTCATAAGGACAACCTCCATAGTGTCAGCCATTACCCTGGGTTCCACTGCTCACCATCATTGCATTTCAACATCCTATAAGGGGAATATAATTGCACCCATCTGTATTTGTAGGTTTTGTCCCAAACGCATCTTATTGGCTTCTATAGCATTCCCGCTCACTGATCATGCTAATTTAAGCCTCACAAAACATGTCATTAATGATTATTCTCTCTGGAACCCAGGATAATAGGCATAGCATAGCTGCAATTATTATTTGAACTCTACGTTATCCATTAGAGGTTATTAGTTTATTGATTCTAGCACTACATAGCCTGCATTAGCCCTTAACACTGTTTTTCATTTCAAACCCTGTGTCCTTCCCTTGGAGTAATATTTCTTGTTTACTGGTGACCTAGAGATGAGACTCAATCTTATTCTCAAGGGAATGACACAGTCTTCAATGCTAAGAATTACAGTGATGAGGTCTACTTACATTAGGTTAGCACAGATCATATATCGTATGCTTGAACATCATTCAACAGTTTACCACCCCACCCTAACTTGTTTTACACTTGTACATTCACCAACTTGTATGGCATACATATCTGCGGAGGGCTTCAGAATTTTTTATTTTTATTACTTGCTGTTTTGAATATAAAACTATGCCAAGGTCTTTCAGTCCACTTTGACAATGCTGTAGATCTTACGAATAAAGAAGAAACAAGAAAAGAATCCCACGGTTCCTACAAGAAAAAAAGAGAATTTCCAGCTTTTAATCCAACCATCAACCCTGGTTTTAGAACTTTGTTTATCAGTTTTTCTGGTAGTCATCTTCAGAGTGGGTAACAGTTGGAATTATTATTACTATAATTAGGCATGTGCATAAAATAATGTGGGGGGGAGGGGAGGGAAGCAGGTTTAATAAATTAATTATTTATCCCAATTACTTTTCTACAGCAATATGAGGGTTTTTCAAGAGTCTAAAAAATGGGACACAGATATCAAAAGCTTTCATGGAGTCAAAGGATTAGCACAATCTCTCTTAAGAGAGAATATAGTACAGACCTGTGAACAGGAAGAATATCCAGACCATGATGAGGGTGTATCCAAAGTACAGGAAAGTGTTTGCTGTACCGCTTATAGTCAGTTTGGAATAGAAGAAATGAATAGAGTACAGGAAGAAATATACTGCAGTACATCCACCAGTAAGGAATGAACGCCACCACCAGTGATAGTCCTGGGCAAACAATCACAAAATGGTTAGATGGAGCGAAGAGTGGAGCCTTCTGAAACTAAATTAGAACTCACCTCGGCACACAGATGGAAGTAGCAGAGCAGAACAGCTGTCTCAGATACAGTCAAGACAAGGATAAGGCACACAAGAAACAAGAAACCAAACATGTAATAAATCTGGTGTGACCTGCAAATCAAGATTAGATGTGCCTTTATGAGGATGTATACCATTAAGATACAGTATTGTTACTCTGTTGTAATATTTCCCACCTAACAATCTATCTAACTGGTGTGGATTCATGGGTGTGGCAAGTTATGGGTGTGGCAGGGTCTCATCTCCACTGCATGTTCATCTGTGGTTGGCATTTTTAACGATTAGACTCAGCCTGAATGATCCATGAGTCAATACCCATGATGCTGAAGACAGAATGGGCTGTTTAGTCGTACTCACCAGATACTGTTTAATATGAAGAACAACTGAATAAATATACAACCAAACGGCAGGACACCTCCCATGATAATGCCTGGCAATGCACGGGTGTAGATACTCTGAAAGAAATAAACAAAACATGTTCTATTACCTGTCTTTGCCATCCTGAAACATTTACTCCTTCATTCTTTGCATTCCGTTCCAAAGAAATAGACCACATGTCAGCAAAAGTTTTACTAATCTGCTTACCTGGTCTGGGATCTGTCGTGGTATCTGATTGGTGCGCACTGGCTGTTCAATGGGCTGGGTTAAAGAATATATACAATACAGTTTCATCAAATTCAGCTTTGGCTACATTTTGATTTCTTTTTGAGATAAAAAATAATTAAAAGAAAAGTCTGGTTACCAATTTCTTGAATCCAAGATAAGCACCAAGGAATGTAAGAGGAACAGAAATGCCGAACCTGATGGGGAAAATGAATAAATAAAAATGTTAGATATAATGAATACATGGTAAGAAAAGTAATAATACACAAGAGCTTACCATAAAGCTAAAAGAGCCAGTAGGGTGGTGAAAGGGACTGCCGCAGATGAACCTTCAACCCACAGAACTAAGTTGAGCAGGAAAAATATGCTGAAGACAACACTAAAAACAGATAATAACATGCTTAATACTGAGTACTGTACATAATAATATTATAATCTAGTTGTGGTGCTTACCCAGAAACAAGGTACTGAGTACATAATAATATTATAATCTAGTTGTGGTGCTTACCCAGAAACAAGGTACTGAGTACATAATAATATTATAATCTAGTTGTGGTGCTTACCCAGGAACAAGGAACGAAGACAGGATGACATTGGATTTCCAGCGCTCTCCACCAAACACTGATCAACAAAATAATAATATAATCAACTACAAGAATATGGCATTAATAGTAATTTTGGGATTCAGCTTGTCAAGTTTCACAGAGTGTAAAATAACCTAGAGAAAACCCTCAAATCAAGGGAGAGACCCAACAACATCTACTCACATGTGAAGCTTAGACCCCAGAGGTGAGAAGTGGTGAGTATATCACCCTTGATTGGCCAATATATTATATATATTACTGATTATCAATAGTACGTACTCTTATAGATCCTGGCAGACACGTATCCTCCTGGTGATCCAAGACACACAAACAGAACTAAAGCACAGGTCATCAAGGCTCCACGATTAGCAGGAGATAGGAAACCCAGACAGGCAAAAACTATGACACAACAAATGAAATATATCCATTAACAATGACATAGTTAATATAGTTAATCAGGCATCAGACTGATGACTGCCTACCTAATGTAATGAACGTCATGATGAAGATCTGTGAACCAGACCCAAGAAGAACAGACAGCAACATTCCTTTTCTCGGTGCACGAAACACATCTCCATGAACCAGTTTCCACCCAAATTCTTCCTGTGCGTCCTCCTAGGAAACACAAACAAACAACGTTAGACAACAGGTGCTACCACTGGTGGTCTGCACTAATTTTCTATCTTATGTTCATAACATTAGAATCCTGTGCACAATAATTAAAACACAATACACATCAAGAGAGCTGGAGCAATGAAATTTGGAGGCATGCAGCCATGTGGCAGAGGCATACTTCTGGCATCACAACCCACTTTGGTTATAAAGACAGTTATTATTGGGTGTTTGATGAAGGGTGTTTGTACAGCAGATAGACTCACCCCTGTGTCCACCTGGTTGTACCGTGCTATATCTTTGTGTAACGTCCTCAGCATAATCATAGCAACCATACCAGACAGGAACAACACTATTACAAGTGAATTCATGATACTGAAAAAAAACAAAACAGTCCTCACTAAAGAAAAACAAACAAGTTTGTTTAAAGAGTCAACATCCTTTTACGAGGCCCTCCATATTACATTAAATAAGAAAAGGAATCAATTACTTGATACGTGTAATCTACATTAATTTAGTTTCAAAGGTGACAAAAAAGACGACAATGATGAAGATTTATTCACCTGAACCACTGGATCTTAGTATGCGGCATAGACTGAAGGATATAGTCCCAGCGTGATGCCCATTTCAGTGTGTTGTCTTCCTATAATAACATATGAAAAAAACAAACATGTCGTTCTCAATGAATTCCATAATATAATCTTTGCACACTAATATGAATTGAAAACTATACAGTATTAGTGACTGAAGCATAGTGGTTATGCCATCTGCAAGAGCAGCAGCCAGATTTGCAACGAATGGCAAGACAACTACATTGAAATAAATAGTACCACACTTACAAAGAAAAGAATGACTGAATTCTATAAATAGATATTTTATATTCTAACCTCTGGCCTTAATTTTTAAGTCTGTCTTCGTCAGGCACAATATTGATGTACTCACCTTGTATTGGACTGAGTAGCTATATGTGATGCTCAACTTATCCACTTTAGGAGGAATTCCAAGGACTTTTTCGGATCCACAGTCTCCTGGTTTGTCATGCTTTATACTGGATAAAAAGTAAGGTATCAAAATGGCAACCCCATGACATATTCATGCTGTTCATGACATCACCATGACAACATCATGACATCACCATGACAACATGACATCACCATGACAACATAATGATACCTCCATGACACTATTATGACATCACTATGCCATGTCATGACATTGCTATGACAACATCTTGATTTTTTCATTCATGCAGCTACCATAACATCAACAACATCATAACTTTAATTATAGGCATTATATATTCAAAGTACATTTTGATTCTTAAACATTACCTTCTTGGTGTGAGCTTGGCAGACAACAACCTTGCGCCATTCCACTCTTCCCCATGGCCACTATGGTAAGTAATTTCAATGTCCACATGATTGAAGACATAGTGTGTATCTTTATCCCGAAAATTGGTCTGTATACATAAGATATAGGTAATAAGTTAATGCTTTTATGAGATTGTCATCAAGATGTGAAAAACTAAAAGACAGTGGGATAACACCTCCATTATCCTCTACTCACACTAGTGACACAGGCATCTCTTGCCTGTCCATCAGCTGTCACATAACATCCAATAGGAAAACCAGTAGAACAATACTTCCTGTCTTCGTCAGTCACTTCATAGCACCAAGTAACTGGCATGTTGTCGATAATCCTGCGGTCCAATCAAAATTAACATTTTCTTGTGAATCTAATGATAATAATAATTTATAATCAAAATAATTATGACTAGTGGATGCCAATATCTGATGGCATCACTCCCTTGAGTATAACTCCTTTCTTACCAGTAACAATTGAGAAGATACATTCATATAAATGTTATCTTAAGTGTGACAATTCCTGACAATGGATATGGACATGGTATGAAACATCAAGAGAATAAAAGCAATAGCTGTTCCAAGTTTGAGGAAATAACTGGATCAAGTCAGCATTGAAGTGCTGCTATCTTGGAATTATCTATGTTTCACAATGCACTTCAATGCCAACACCACCCAGTTTTTCCTTTGACTAATCAAAAATAAAGAAACTTTGAAGAGAATAGTATGTACCAATGGTTCTGATAGTTCAGTGATATTCCGGTTTTCAAAAATTCCAGCTTTGTTTTGTCTTCAGTTTTAGAATAGTCATATGTCTTAGTACACAGGGTCTGGCATTTTGTATCCACTTTAAATGATAGCTGAAAATAAAAAAAAGCTTTATTTGAATATTATGAAATTCATGAATGATCAAAGAGGAAAACAAAACCAGAAAAGTTTCTAAATTGGATACAGATTTCTTCTCATGTGCATAATAAATTATTATTATTAATTCTAACTTGGATTTGCCTTCAACAAATCAAAAAACTTTAGTATAACATAAAATAATATGGAATTAAGGAGGCTGTAAAGTGTTTTGTGCCTTCACATACACTACAATCATGAATTAAAAATATTAATATGGCTATAATATGACAACAAGTAAACCAGGAAAGGCAAAGACCATAAACCAAAGATCACAATGTAAGACATTACTATGACAACATCAAAACCCTTCTTATGCCATCAAAAGTGTTCATTTAAAGGTTCATAACTCAGGAACCAAATGGTGAAGTTTTTTTAAATCAGAATATTTAAACTTTGTATCATAATCTATTTGATGAAAAAAAAAAAATTCTGTAAGAGGGAATTCATAAAAATCAATGGAGCTTGTTCGGAATAGTTCCCTCCTTAAGATATAATATTTGAACCCTCTTTGTTTGTATTTAACTCCCATTAAGATGTCCAGCTCACAGCTCATTTATCACATATTTTTTAAGGTTCTTCATATCTTACATTGTATGATGATAGTGTGATTCTGTCTCCAAACACCACCTGAAGAGTAGAAAAAGATTTAAGCATTACTAGTGTTCCATTAACAGCTGTTATAAGACAAGAGTAGACTCATATCACCAGTAGAAAAACAACCAGGGATTCATTCAGAACAAAGATATATGGAGCTATAAATCCTTCGATCATAACACTGTTGGTGGAATCCCACAATAAATTTGCATATTTCCTAAACAACTAGAATCATTCAGGTGTTTGAAATTCTAGAAGGATCCTAAACAAAGTCAAAGCTGTTTTTTTTTTTACCTGGCCCAGGTTTTCAGAAGGTGAGCTTGCTTTACCATCTTTTTGACAGAAATCAAAACTGGGAAAAGACAAGATTGAAATGAATATGAGCATGAATAGGGAGCCATGACTACATGTATACTAGCAGAGATACACTATTCAATGACTGCTGAACATTACTTGAATCTCTTCTGGCCAATATTAATATATAATAATCTATAATAATAATCTATGATAATCTTTAATAGATAGAACTTACCTTGAGTATTCGTAAGGAATGACTGAGTCCACTGAATCAAGGCGGTTGACAAACAAGTCAATCTTGGACTGTTGAAAATAATTTAATTAACAATATTATACAAAAGCCAGTGATTTAGTAGTTGCATTTTCCCTTTCATTGGTACATGAGCACCACAAGGCAGATAGCTATATAATATTGGTGTAATAATGCCATGTTAAGCAGTTCTGACATTGTTTCTCATTGGTTAAGAAACATCAATATCCCCAGCATTATATCAATATTTGGAACACTTGATTTTTTAAGCCCCGTTTACACTAGCGATTTTTGCTGCGATTTTTTCGGCGATTTTGTCCATAATAAATAATGGTAAAGAATTTACTGGTAAAGTTTTTTCAGGATACCAAGATTTTCCTAGACGAATGTCTCTTTTGCGAGATGAGAAAAAAGATTTCATATTTTCGAAAATTGCCACAAAAATTGCTGCAAAAATCGCTGCAGAAATCGCCAGTGTAAACAGGACTTTAAGGACATTCTCCTATACACAAGTAGTCGCTATGAAAACAACTGTATTTATTCACAAATTACACTGTGGTAACTGGGATCTAATGGACAGTCATTATTTTAAGCCCTGATTTGTTATTCATTAATCTTTGCATATGGCTCTCAGCTTGGTAACTGGAGTAACAAACAAACTGAGCAAGTTTCATAACCGACATGACACCTATTTAGAGAAGTATTCTAGATCTTCTAGAAAGTGAACAAAAGAACTTTAATAACCTTCTTGAATTTCGTACATGAATCTAGAGCTTTTCAAGATGGCCAAAGAAGAATTACTTACGCTCTAAATTGTGACAGTGTGGAATAGAATAGACCGTGAGTTTTTCAAAGCCCTACACAGTTGGCTTTATTTATCATTGTTTTCAATGCTACGTGCTGATTGAAACAACAGTTAGATAGACAGATAGACAGATCAGTAAAAATACAAAAATTTAAGAATGCAATAAAATTGAATATAACAAATAAGAAAAATATTCAAATGACTGCTTTACATGAGTGCCGTGTGACATGTTATGACATGTAAATCAGGCAGTAAAACTACTGTCAATCAAATATAAATTGTTCCCATCTATCTTCTCACAGTTCACATGTCCCTTTATGTACTCTAACAATCTATTTGATATTCACTGTTGCGATCAACTTATAACAATGTAATGTAAAAGCAATCGGAGAACTCTATATATCTACATATATCTACATATATCTACATGAACTTTCTCCTGAATCAGTACTTAAATTTTCTTCAAAACTATGAAGGTTTACTAATGATTATTTTACATCATGTAACCAATCGAAGTAGACAAACAGGTCTTAAACATCGTTAATTTTAATCAAGCGAACGTATTGATTATTTAATATATCAATTTAATAAGCTTAAGCAACTTGAAAGAAGCTACAAGTGCTGGATATGTGCCTATGTAATGACTGACATCAGAATCAAACACTGAATTAAYAACTTTAAATAGCTGATTCATTTAGTTTAAAGATAAATTGAATCGAGAAAAGCCATTGAAGCAAAGAAAGCACTAAACTAAAGTAAGATAAGCTGAAAAATATTCAGGAATTTCAACAGACGAAGAACTGAAGCTATTTTAAGATGGGTGGTTGATTCAACGGTATATTTTACTCGAAAATATAATCATTCCTGTGTTTTTTTATTCTTTAATATTTGTATACCTTGCATCCTTGATCTTCTTTTCCTTTCTCACAATACGACACGGGTGCTAAACCAGGCAGATAGAAAGACCAACAAGATGGCGTCCACACTAACACCGCTATAAAAAACACTATTCTTACGCTAAACAACATAATTTACACGTCAAAACTCGACTACAAAGGTTGAATATTATATTCGACGAGATCTTGGAACTTTAAGAGTGTGTATAATCACAACATAAGTCAAAAACGAAGGACTATCTCATTGAAATTTGTTGAGAGGAAACGTTGACTTTGATGATGCGCAGCTTTCTGCGCATCATGCGACACGTAACAACAAAATGGCGGATCTTTTGCTCTAGGGGAGGGGAAGGTAGGGACAATTCAATTCATGAGTTATTTTTTTTAATAAATTCTAAGTTTTTGAAAACAAAAGAAACTAGTGATGAGCTTTGTAGCCTGCTGTGCAGACGTTCTTTGTGTTTTGCTAATTCATTCATTTTTCAGGTCTCACTCCAATGACTCGACACGGCTGATTCATCTAGAGTAGGCGTCGACACTTATGCTCATTATTTTGACTGAAAATTTCCATTAAGCCCCGTTTACACTAGCGAATTTTGCGGCGATTTTTGCTGCGATCTTTTTGCGATTTGTAAAGTTTTTTTTAGGATACCAAGATTTTCCTAGACGAATGTCTCTTTTGAAGGATGAGACAAAAGATTTCATATTTCCGAAAATTGCCACGAAAATAGCCGCAAAAATCGCCAGTGTAAACGGTGCTTTAGTGTGCCGAAAAACAACTTTTAGATTTTAAGAAAGATGAAAGCTTACTAATTACTTTTTGAATCTATTATATGTATAACTGGTATTAATATGACAAATAAAGTCATTCTGGATGGTATGTGTTTGAGTTGGTAATTTACTACCAATACTTGAGGAACGATGTCATTTATCATATCATCATAGACAACACCATCCATCCTTCAACGATCGATTCTCTAACAACTTAGTCCCCGTCCAAACGTATCCGGAAATTTTTGTATCCGCATTTTTTTTTTTTTACGGATACGTGTTGCGTCCAAACGTGTCCGCAAATTTTTTTTGTCCGTATCCGCAAATTTTACGAAAACGGATACGTGTGGACGGTGAAAACGATTCGAATACGCTGCGTGTGGACGCAAACATTTTCGTATCCGCAAAAAATAATTTGCGGATACAAAAATTTCCGGATACGTGTGGACGGGGCCTTAGTATTCTACTTAGCATTTCTCTAACCATTTAGTATCTCCGAGTGTTTTAAGCAAGTTTTCAAAAGTTTATCTGATGGTTTGAAATAGAGTGCACGCACTAAAACCGTGAACATTAAATAGTACTAATTAGTACTATTTCATACAGAATCCTTTGTTTTCTATTGTTTAATTATCACTATTTAGTGCTAAAAATTAGTATTTGTTTCACGGATTTAGTGTGAGCACTCTAAAAGAAAATGAGATACATCCCCTTTCTATAGGTGGCATGGTTAAGTAGGAAGTAAACTTCAAAAAACGACTGAACCGTCAAAACATGAAAAAAGTGGACTTCTATTTTCTTACGGGTCCCGCCACACCGGATCGATCACAAATCAACTAAGCTAGCCCTAGCTTTAAATTCCCAAGACTCTTAGCTGACGTCCGAGAATAAATAAGGCTATTAAAGCCAAGCACATTGCGCACTGCACAAAGTTGTAGGTAAAATGTTGCTAAAGTAGGATAGTTTTCTACTTCAGCATGCGTTTGGGGAAGAATAGGGGTTTTGGGGGACCCATTTTTCTCGCGGGCGCGTAGTTGAAACAGGAATCCCAAGACCCCGATTCTTTCCCAAACCCTACTTCAGCAACATCGAGTCTGGGTCGAGTCGGCATTACTGAATGGCGTCTACGTTGCCCCCTAAAACACTCCCACAATTACTTTATAGTGCCAAATCGACGCAAGGTTATTTTCCTCTATCATATCGATTGCCTGCAACATTGCGCGCAACGTTGTACCATGTGTCCGTTAGCTTAAGTGCATATTGGAATCGTGCCGGTGTTAATCCCTCCATGTGTCATGACTTTCAAATTCGATGCATTTTGTATCTCGTGACTCAGCAGAAGTCACGTTGATCAATCAAGTCACGACAAAACTGACAGTGTTTTAGCGGGAAGTACAAGAAGCTTACTTTATTTTTTCGCGGCCAAGAATATGCATGTCATACACACTTATTTCAATAAAGCTATAGGAGATAGGTTATTACACGATCCCAAGAATAGCTGGAATGACTTGTGTTTCTGCTACTTATTCTCGTCAATAACATGTGATAGTGAGAGAGTGTTGAGACTGATTCAATCAGGTTCAACGCCCACCATATTTCCACTGTAGGAATGAACTATCGCCTATTGCCTTTGGCGGTGACAACGTTTATTGAAATAGGTGTAATCTAGGTTAAAAATAACTTTTGTGCATTTCCACTACACCTGTGAAAAAAAATATTATCATTTTAAGGGGATCCGAGAATATTCCTTCGTTATCATTTCTTAACTATAATTAACTAAAAAAAACGTTTTAGCATTTAACTAATGATAGTTTAGTTTTAATTATAACATATTGAGTTGCTAGAAATTGCCTTCAAAACTACATCACGAGGCTGGCTGCATGACATTGACGCTAAATTCTAAAGCTAAATTTCGATATTTTTTTCAATTATTTTTTGTTAACTTAATTCGATTATGATATGGAGCTTCTCAACCATGCACTCTAAATTGCCATCAGTGTCAAACGTATTTACGCGTATTTTGGAGAATTTTATATTGAAGAACGAATAGTTGTTCAATAATTCATACTATATTTGTGGTCAAATTTTCTCTCGCGGCAGTGCTAGTGAGAGTTTGACGAGTTAGTACAACTGTGAAACAAGCTCAGCTTTGACTTGACTTACCACAACCTCGACTGTGAAAAGATTTATTGCGGTCATTTAATAGGTTTGATTGGTTGATTGGACCGAGGAAGTGTAGTGTATCAGTACGATTGTAGAAAGAATGAATAAGAAGTTCTACAAACGCTCCTAATGAGCAGAACAACATGGTTCCTGAGCTATACTGAAAACAGAGTTATTGCATGTCCGTGTGGCAAGCCGGACACGTAGACTTATCTCCTAGTTAGATTCCACATGAATAACGATTCATTGGGCTATTCATTGAAACACAGGCCGAGCTTTGGAACTTTAACCGTAAATCAGTACGACTAATTCCGCAAGTGCATACGCAAGTGTACGGCTCTCGAGTCGACTCGTTCCGATGTCGCATTCACAAAGTAATTTGTACCTCAGCGATCGTGTTGTAATCAACGTCAGTGGGGAACGGTATGAAACGCTAGAATCTACTCTCTCTCGTTACCCTAACACTTTACTTGGTTGTCCAACTAAAAGATCCCAGTACTTTGATCACAAGCAAAAAGAATACTTCTTCAATAGAAATCGTCAAGTTTTCGACGCCATTCTATTTTACTATCAGTCCTATGGACGTCTCGTCAAGCCTGATCTCATCTCTGATGACATATTCATGGACGAGATACGTTTTTTTGAAATACAAAGTGATTTTGTGACGGCAAGAGAGAAACTCGAAACATCACTTTCGGGGAATCCACATTCGGCGCGCTCACAGCCGCAGAACCAGCTACAGCGACAAATCTGGATATTGTTTACGTATGCGGGTTCATCATTTTGGGCCAGGATACTCGGGGTTTGGTCCGTCACTGTGATTGTCATGTCAGTCGTAATACCTTGCATTGAATCTCTTGAGTACGATTTTCATGAATCTGTGGGCACGATGAGGTCAGTACTAGAGGGAAATACTTATGCAGTATTGGAATCGGGATGTTATATCTGGTTCACTTTCGAATTGTGTGTGCGCTTTGCGTCCGCTCCAAAAAAGACGCAGTTTTTTCGTCAGCCCTTGAACATCATTGATTTCATAACTGTTGTTTCATACTATTTGGTCTTGCTGATTGAAGGTAGTAGATCAGGTTCCTTGTCAGCGATGAGAGTCGCAAGAATACTTCGCGTGTTGCGCATCTTCAAACTTTCGCGTTACTCAAGTGGAATGAGAATTTTACTCTTTACATTCTTAACCAGCCTCAAAGAACTGACAATGTTTTTAATATTTTTACTAATCTCTGTTCTTCTCTCATCGAGCGCGGCGTATTACGCAGAGTATGGAGAGCCCAAGAGTAACTTCACTTCTATTCCTGCCACATTCTGGTGGTCTGTTGGTACTGTAACAACTCTAGGATACGGAGATCATTATCCCCAGACCTTAGCAGGAAAACTCGTGGGCGGCGCTCTGTCTATCATTGGGGTTTTAATTCTCGCTTTGCCAGTATTCTTGTTTGTAACCAATTTCAAAAAGGTTTTGGGCACGCACTTTTCTTTGGTGAATGATGACGATGATGGAACCGATCAGGAAGATTTCCGCAGGCATCGTCTTGGTATTCGACGTTTGAACTTTAGCTGATTTTTTTTCGTGGGTTTAAAGCAGAAAAAGCGCTTGAATATAACACAGCCGCCATGCAGGTACATGAGCCAGGCACCTGACGATCAGGAAGGAATTGAAACCAAATAGAAATTCAAAGGAATAAATGCTATCGCATATAGTTTGATAACATCGCTCTCTCGCGATATCTTGATGTAATCATAGCATTCCATCTTTTTGATAATATATTGGAATTTTCTCCTAGTTAAAATCATTGGGTTGTCTGTTATCTTTACGCAATTTATTCAGTCGTTCTTTGACTAAAAACGATAGGCTAAATAAAATAAGGGCAAGTTTCATTTCCGCATATCGCCACAGATTAAGAAAAATCTATTGTTTGAAATTAGCAATTACCATCACTACCAATGAGTACTTCACGGCCAGAGAGTAGCTTACGTTTGGCACGAATTGTCTCATAGCAATCGCTTAAATAAATATTTAAAAACCCAAGATATTTCTAGTGGTATTTCAGTAAGCCCTTTGGCAGGTCTGTTCATGCACGTTATCATGAATCATTCAATATTAATACCATCAGTATCAACATTATATAGCGCACTGAACACCACAAGATCACTGGGAGTCATTTTGAAGGATCCCCCGTTGAAAAGGCTAGTTTTACTAATATTGTCTAATCAACAGTCATTTACCACGTTAGGGTAACGATTAGTTAAAGATTATTGACTTACTAAGATCATGTTTTATTAAGATGAAAGATATCTTCGACACTATTCAGTCTATGCATAGCGGCTAGTAACTATTTTTTTCTATTAAATTTGTAGAAAAGAAACAAATAAATGATGAGAAAAACTCCAAGAGAGAACATAAGTACTTAACAGTATGCTTTTTGAATAGCTTGAGTAGTGACTGTGATCTCTAACAATCCCCATTTAGTACTATTCAGTTATTCTATTGATCAGTATCGCTGCGTGACCACAGTATGCTTCTTGTCGAGTATTGATTGAAATGTGCCACAATGAACTGAGTGGCTAACCGTGTGTATTTGCCATTTTCTTACCGCGAAAATACACCTTATTTCTTGTTATTTCAAGATTGTTAAAGCAGCAAATACTAAACTACAAATTAAGAATCATTTTTCTTGATTTTGATTAAAACCAATAAAAAATTCTTAATATTAAAAATATTAACCTTGTGCGGCCTTGAAGTACAAATTGTGAGCTTTTATTATGACTGAGTATTCGAAGAAAAATATCACCTACAAGAATGAAGTCTACATTACCAATTATGCCTAATTTGCTTTTTCATATGACAACCGCGCGTCTTGCAATTAGGTGTAAATAGAAATAATCTAGCAATTTAAGACTAATATTTTTCTTTCTTTTAATAAAAGGGAATCGAATGTCATAACTTCTTGGCATTTCAAGACACTAGTGAAGTTGGGAAACGACATATGAAACATGACGAAAGCACTGACATAGCAAGATCTTATTGCGCATGCGTCATATCTGATTGAAGTAGTATCAGAGCCAGAGCCAAATTCAACTCTCCTCTTGTTATTTTAGGCAGTCGTTTCAGTTAATAATAGCAGATCCATTATTGATTGTTTTTTTATTCAAAACGCCTTAGACATTTCAAGCCTTCAACATTTCATGCGGCAATTTTCGCCCCAACCCCTATTTCATAATCCGCACTGATATTCCATACCCATCACAACACTGTCGATCAAAGCAGAGTACAACAGGATAACAGAGCAGGTTGTATTTACGGCATGTACACCTGTCCATATTGAACTGTTACCTCCCTCACTACTCAAGGGAGAAAAGAAGTAGGCCGCAAAACGAACAGCTTGCTATCTCCAGAAAACAACAATTTCAAAACACAGAAATTTACGCTTCGAATACTAAAATAAATGAACGAAAATCTGCTTTTTCACGTATCACGCACCGAAGTCAAGCGCGCGTTTCTCCCACAGTTTAGTTATCCCAGACGCATCGCATAAATTTCTCCGTTTGGACGACTGATTATTATCGGCAATTAAGAGCTCAATGATAAACATAATATTCTCTTGTTCACTATTCATTATGGTACTGTTCAGCCAAGTTTCACTGAGGCAGATGGCGTCGTAGTCGTTGTCATACACAAGGTGCTGTAGTAAGGTGATCTTACACACTTTCACTGAGCTGTTGTCGTTCAGCGTCGAAAAAAGCTTCAGAATTCTGGTGTTCGAGTAGGCGACATGCATAGTGACGAGCACAGTACTGAGTAATGTTAGGCCAGATAGCTTTAGAACGTTTACCATGACCTAGCTCGTGCACTCAACAAGAAAGGTCTTGCGCACGCTTTCTCCAAATCTAACGGTTTTTGCACGAGCTCGAGAATGAAATGTATCACGCAACTAGCAATCAGGCAAAGACATTAGAAAAACGAAAGAAAGCAAGAAAGTAGGAGGAAAAATAGTGAAAATCACACGGAAAAAGCTTGAGTTCAAAGAAAAACACGAAAGTGTAACTGATAAATGGTAGGATGATGAGCAGACGGTGAATATAATCTATCTATTAGAAGTGATTCTTTATAAACCCCCTGATTTCCCCGCGACTTCACGCATTCCTTCCCATGAATATCTAAAGATACTGGTCATAAGATAAAGTAAAGATAAAGTAATAGAGAGAGCAGGGAAAATGGCTCTTTGCCCCCCAAACAAAAACAAGTGAAGACTCCACCCYTTGACTAGCATCGGTTATGGGCTTCCTGTGGTTTTTGAAAGCCATCCCACAATGCAACAAGTGATGGTTCCCTTGTCTTTGGTTGGTTTTCTCGTCGTATTTCATGACATCCAAGAAAAAAACGCGTATTTTATGATACATTTTAAACCGTTTTAAAGAAGGAAGCGTATAAAGAGCTTCTCTAAGAGGTCCCTTATCATCATGGGAGACAATATAGAAGATACCTTTGATAATAGTGACGGGGAAGAAAGAGAAATAGAAAGACCTCATACTCCTGATTACCATGATGGACGACAAAAAGACGAAGAGGTTTCGAGTGAAGTGTCTGATGAAAAACATAACGAACAACAGGAAGAGGAGAGCAGTAAACAAAGCCCTGTTGAACCCGTAGTTGATAGTCCGGGTAGTGAAGCAGGGGACGAACTGCCTGAAGAACTAAGTGTACATGATTCAAAAGAAGAAGTAGACAATGAATCGATTGAAACTACAGAGAAAGGTAACCTCGAAGTCAGCAAGGATGAAGAGTGTGATAAAGAAGAGGAAAAGAGTAAGGACGATGAAGCTAGTGAAGGGCAATATTTTCCCGACGACGAAGAATTAGAAGAGAAGGAATCAACATCATCAAATGAAGCCACTTCACAGAAAACAATACCAGAAGAATCAACAGATAAAACGAAAAAAGATGTGTCTAAGAATGGCAATGAAGAGGAGGAAGAAGACTTAGAAATGCCTTTGTCTCCTATTGGAGATTTAGGTTTATCAGAACCAGAGGCAGCAATAGTTGATGATATTTTAAAGGGTGATGTATCAGAGATGATGCCAGGAGACAAAGCTGAAGGTAAACAGGATGATGATGATGACGTTGTGAATAAGAGCACAGAGGATGACAATGAGGATCAATCTGTCAAGGAGGGTGAACAAGAAGCTAATTCATCACCAGGTAATTGAAGAATGATGACAAGTATTGCGATTCTCATATAAGTTTGATAGAGAGAGTCACAAGCTGTTAATATACATGTACACCCACATTGTCGGCTCAGAATAACCTTGCGATATGAAACTCATTGCCATTTGCCAATACAGCTTTATATTGTGTTGGAAGAAAATATATTTGGGATATATTTTCTCCCAGTTAGCCTACAGTTTAAACCAGTATTGGCAGCTCAAAATCCCAGCAACTTATAAGTATCAAAGTCATCAGTGGTTAAGGCCTCTCTTATTAGGATCAAGCATAGAGTAGTGATCTCACCTCTAGAGTCTATAAAGTTCAATTCCTGGTCTCAGGGTAAGCATCACATGTAACAAGAGTATTGTTGGGACTCTACTTTGATTCTATGGTTCTTCTCAAGGTTTTCCAATTTTAAATTGATTTGTGTGTTAGAGGTTGTTATAGGGTTCAATATATTTGAGTTTTGTTCATATTACATTGCCCCATTAGCCTCACTAAGACTTTTAATCAAGATAACTTTAACTGATTATTGACTGAAGCATAGACAATCACTGTTATCATCCTTATGGTTACAGCTGTATTCGATGATAATGATGACGATGATGATGATGATGATGATAAGAAAGAAGCTAATTCAGAAGACCTTGATATCCAAGATGAAGAAAGGTAACACAGTAACTACCCCCACCCCAACCCCACATTCTCCCATCATTAAAGTACATGTTACTCTTTTCACTTGTGAGTCTTCAATATCAGAAACAGTTCTTGGCTGTCTTACATGATGATGATTCCTCTTGAGTTTGCATTCAAAATACACCTTGATTGATAACACATTTTTTCTAAGAATGATCATTACTCTAACAGATCAGAACCAGAAGAAGCTGGAGACCAACTGATTGCAGATATTTTTGGTGCAAGTGATGAAGAAGAGGAGTTTGAGGTATATTCCCATGTGTGGGCTCAAGTATTTTCATTGTTAGTCTATTATAGTATAGTTCTGGGCAAATCTAAGACTAGATTGGAAAGTGCTGGTACTATAAGTAGACTGCTGTTATTTTATTGCGTGTGTTTGAGAATGCAGGAATCCTAAGAATTGGACTCAATCTACCTCTAGAGACATAATATTTTCTCATTTCAGGCCACATGTCATTCTCTTGAAAATAAGATTCTTTGTTTGAGTTGTATCATGCACATTCATGTGTCTTCTGATGTCCAACTGTTAAACAAAGAAATAATACTCTAGAGAATGACACATGGTTTGTAATGGGAAAACAGTGGATTTAGTCTTTTCCCAGTCTGATGGTCAAAACACTACATATTCATAAGACAATATTTGACGTTGGAAGGTACTCTTTAGTTAAGTAAGTAGTGGCTAAAATGGCAATAAACTTGCTAGTAAAGCACTATGGTCAAACTGTACAATACTAGATAGATATGTCACTCTTATGACTGGACTAGTACAGCACTATGGTTAAACTGTACAATACTAGATAGAGATGTCACTCTTATGACTGGACTAGTACAGCACTATGGTTAAACTGTACAAAACTAAATAGATATGTCACTCTTATGACTAGATGGCAATTCAATCCTTCATGGTTGTTGTACAGCTTTACATGTCATGATATTGAAAATATATAAACTTGCAATCCCCTCACTCCCAACACACACACACACACATACCTTCCTATTATAGTAATTTTGTAAGGCAATAATATTCCAACTAAATGAATTAAAACTTTTGAAATGGCTTCTTTCAGGGATTTGACCAAGAAGATATTGAACTATCCAAAGCCAAGCAAGGTACACAATGTGAATTGAATATCATTGTCAATGTTGTGTGAAGTGAGTGTGGTATTATTCTAACATTATTATAACATTTTCACCATAGACGTTGAATCCAAAAGATCTTCTAAAGCAATGATATCAGATGATGAGGATGAAGGAGTGACAGGAGAAGTGTCTGATCAAATGGTTGTCCCTAAACCAAAACAGGACAAGAGTAAAGACGATGATTCTGATGATGAAGGATCAAGGCAGTATGTATTACTACGTTATTTTTAGTTGCTCCTGATTACTTCCAGGGTTTCCTGTAAGTCATATGACAGATACAGCTGTACGGCTGTTCTGTAGTTAGTGCACAACATGTTATAAAATAAGTCATGGAATATTTTTTCATGCAATGTTTTTTTTTTATTTTCACAGTCATGTTTGGGATTTTGATGTCATGATGGAACAGAAAAAGGTAACCACCTAACAAAATTAGAATAGAAAGACTTAGAGCAGTTTCGTATTAAAAAGTTTCATCAACCCAGAGGTTGCATCAGGGTTCAATCTGTGAGTTAGCCGTGCCCTGGCTTAGATCAGCCC